CCAAGCAGTGTTTGGACAACACTCTTGGATAGTTTGTTTTTGGGGTGGTGCTATGTGGAGCCAGGAGTTGGACTCTGTGATCCTTGCGGGTCCCTCCCAACTCAGGATATTCCGTGATATTCTCTGACGTGACACACTCCAAAGCGCAAATACAAGTTGAAGAATCAGCAGGCAAGTTTTCAGCTTCTGATAAATTGTTCTGTGATGGTCTGAAGTTATGCTGATATCTTTTGATAACAAAGATTTTAAAAGCTGTGTCAAACCTCGATTTCCTCTTTACTTACTATGGATTTTAAGCAGCCATATCTTTATCATATAATTGTATTTACACTACTCTTTCTCTAAAGAAATGTGTACATTGCTTTTAAAGACATATATATAAAAATAAAGCATGCTTTTTCATAGTTTTAGTTATTGATCCAGTATGGCTGTGCGCACCCAATAACTGCAGAAACACCACCACTACTTATTTTTAAGTAGTAGCAGGACGCTAAGTCCTAGAGCTTAACGTGGAGTCCTCTATTGCACAACCACCTTTTAGAATATTTACTTCTGCAGCCCTACAGTTATAAAATAAAGGATGCAGATAAAACATTAATAGCCAATTGGAGTATCATATACAGAAACACATTATAGCTGATAAATTATTATAGGAGCAGTAAAGGAACTAAAAATTAACCTGCTAACACAGAGCATCGAGCACTTAAGGTAGTACTTCCAATTAAGCACGCTGCAGATAGGTAAAACACTGCACATCTGCAGGGGAAATTAAAAACTGGGGCAAGATACAACGACACCTCTTGACCCCCACACAGCCAGGTGCTCGGGAGCCGCACATGGAAAGATTAACAGGGAATCAGCAACCTGTAACGCTGCACACCGCGGGCATGTGGACTGGATCCTTAAGTCAGTGTGCTGATTCAGACTTAGTAACTTTCACTACTATTTCCCCTCCACTTCCCAAAGAGCAAGCAGAGCCTCCAAAACATAACCAAGCACTTCGATTACACAAAGATACCTCTTCCAAGCACAGTCAGTTTCAAACCTGAAAATCCACGGACGTGCAGTATCCAAAGAACGCTTCCTCTGGTTTCAATATCTAGAAATGCGTGTGCTAACAGAACACCTCTTTGTGCTTCATTTACACAATTAATGCTTCCACACCAATCTCCGCAGAGTATTAAAGTTTCATAGCGACTGCCCGACCACAGCCTTCCAAAAAAAGCTAACCGTCCTCTTCCACCAGCTATTTCTGACCCCTCATGTGACGTTACTAAACTGGACATCACGCGAACAAGAACGCTAACCCGAGACAGAGCTACGATCTTAGGGATTTCAGTAATTTAGATGAAAAAATGACTGATTTTAGGAAGGAATCTGTAAGCTCCATTCTGAGCCGTTTAGGTGGTTACTCAGAAGAGCTAAGGCTGCTAAAAGAAACCACTTTAGAAGAGACATCTGGAAGGAGAGACCGATGGATGTAACGCTGGGTGGGTGCAGCGCTCGGCTCCCTGTGCCAAACGAGCCGAGCAGCGCCCTGCTGGGAGCCCCCCCGCGAGCCCTGCCCCCGGGCCCCTCAGACACCGCCGTTCCCTCACACAGCCCCGAGCGCCCCTCAGGCGGCGGCAGGGCCCGGCCCGGCCCGGGGAGGCCGCGCGGCCCCTGCCCGGCCCTGCCCCCCCCCCGCCGCCCCTCACCGTGTGCTCGTGCTCGTCGGCGCGTGCGCGCGGCGGGCAGAGCAGCAGGAGCGCGGCGGCCGCGCGCAGCAGCAGCAGCAGCAGCGGGAGCGGGCGCGGGAGCGGGCGCGGCCCGGCCGCCGCCATCTCGGGCCTCGGCGTCCCCGCCAGGAAGCAAGGCCCCGCCGCCCGGCCGGCCCCAGCGCCCCGCCGCCAACGCCACTTCCGCTCCGCCCGGCCACGTCATCCGCGCCGCGGGGCGGAAGGAGCGCGGCGGGGCGGGGGGCGGCGGGGCCGGGCGGCAGGGGCGGGGCGGGGCGGGGCGGCCCCGTCATGGCGGCTCCTGCGCCTCAGCGGGGCTCGCGGGGCGCCGACCCCACGGCAGTGACCCTGTCATCCCTGCACAGCCTGTGTCAGCAGTATGAACTCACGTGCACACCTGCAGTCCCCTATTTCACTAGCAGCAAGGTCCCCTTAGAAGAAATACTCCTCACACCCCACTGAAAACCCCTGCTTGCATTAAAAAATAAATAAATAGGAGAACCCAGGCTGCCTGGCTTACACCATGTGCTTCCCTACAGTCACTGCATCTCGGCCCAAAACCGAGTGGAGCACCCCTGGGAGGCAGAGGGGCTTCGGCGTCTCCGTAAATTTGGCACTTAAACCGAATTTACGGTTTCGGCGTCTCTGTAAATTCGGCACTCTCGGTCACCAGCGGGGCCAGCCAGAGCCAGCTGCTGCAGGACACACCGTGAACAGCAAACACTCGGCCCCGGCCAGCCAGCTGCCGCCTGAGCTCCGGCACTGCTCAGTGCCCAGACAGGTGGCAAGGCTGTTTACTCTTTACCAGCAATTTTATTATCTGCTCGGTCCTTGAGCTCCGATCCTAGGTGAAACAGTTTTGTTTCCTCTCCCCAAGCATGTTCATGCATAGTCACAGGCAGTTTTCTTCTCTGGTCTCTTCTGAGCTTTCATTTCAGTGCATTGCTCGCCCTAGGTGGTGGCGATACACGCTACACACTCCTCCAGCACAACTAGAGTCTACAGCTACAGGGACTCTACACACCGAGCTGTAAGAGGGGAAAGCAATTAAATAAAATGAAAACAACTAGGAACGGGGATTTGGGCAGCTCAGAAGGTGCATCTTTGCTGATCTGCAAAAGCCATGCCTACACCCCAACCACCTACGTGCATTTTAGAGTGAAGTTGTTTTATTGCTGTTCCTTTTCTCCTTGACAGGGTGACAGTTCTGCTGTGACTTCCGGGCAGCAATTTGCCCAACTAATCCAGGAAGATTTACAGCTAGACAGTGAGAAAGGAATGCCCGAGACTACAGCTTCATCTTGGATCTTTCCCCTTTCACAGTGCAAAAGGGATGTGAACAGAGCACTGTTTCTGTTTTAAGACTTCTCGGTCTCGCTGATCCCAGCTCACCTCCCCTCCAAACCAGAGCCTTGCTAGCATTTGGTTTTGTATTATAGCTCAGTTCAGACTGAGAAAGGATCTAAGTTGCAACAGGGAGAGTGACCAAAAGGCTACACTTTATACACATTTCAGCTATTTGGATGTAAACTGTCTTGCTGCAGGCAGTACTAGCACTACAAATCTAGTCTACGGCCAAGTTAACAGGATTATGCAAAGGCAAATGCTCAGATACAGTTCAGATAAATCCTTCTCAGAGAAGACATTCAGCTATTGCATACAGGGGGTGCAGAATTAAAAGTCATGCAGGGGAAAACAGCCCTGGGCTGCTTCAGTCCAACAGCTCTGAAAGGAAATCTTCTGTATGACACCCGCATTTTGCTCTTCACCTGCTGCCTTATTCAAGCTTTCCCCTTATGCTACGTTTCTGCCTTAAGTTGAGCCTGGCAAACGTGGAAGCAAAGTCCTGCCAAATTGCAGTTCCAATCTCTGGGGCACAGCTGCAGCCAGACCTAAAAAGATGGGGAACCTTTGAACAAAACCAGGGAGCTTTGTGCAAACCAAGTACACGTGACAGCTGAAGAGAATCGAACTGTTAACCTTCATCCTTTATTTCTTATATCCCTGCTTCTTTCACTTATCCATGGTACCATCTTCTTTATTTCAGCACCAAAACCTCCTTCCCTGCTTCCAATTTGACTGAATAGTGCTAGGAATCATGTTGTTTCTAGAAAGGCAGAGGAAGGCAGCTCCCACCTCACCATCCGCCTGGCTACAGTGACCAAAGAGCAAACTGTCAGTAAGAGCTTGAACTGTCAGTGAAGAAGGCACTGAGGTCCTCTGGAAAAAAAAGAAAATGAAATCCTCTTCATCAACAGGCCTCCAGTAAGTACCCAGCATGCGTCCTCACAATAGGAGAGGCTATGTGAACTGTACTTGGAACACAGCCCGTGGCTTTCAACATGTGGATGACATCTAGCTTACGCCTATCCCCATGCGAGCTTCCACCTTCCCTCAGTGCTGCCTGAGTCACGGTTGGCCTCCGTCACTCCTGCAGCTCCCCGTGCTGGCTTCACCCCGCTGCAAGAGCACGGAGCTACAACTCTAGTGCCTGCTCTGCTACAGAGCAAGAGAAGCTTACGTGAGCAGATGGAAACTATGCATCTCTCAGGGGAAACAGCTTGAAAACCAACTCGGCAACACGTCTTAATACTCTACCCTGAATGTTGTCTTGCAGAATTCCCATCTATGTCACTCATGGACAACTGGAGACTCAGACGTGTCCCCCAAGGGTCAGGATATGCATAGAAGATTGCAAAGCCTTAGAAAAAGCCTACTTTAATGATCCCAGCCCCTTCGGATGAGGAATCAAAATTAATTTCTGCTTTATGTGCTTTCTGTGCTTGGCACACGGAGCCCAACCAGGAAACTCTCCTTAAGTGTCCAAGTCCTCCGGCAGAAAAGGCTGGACACAGCTGTTGCTGATTCACACTGCCAGAGCAAAGCAAGCAAAGCCCAGCCCCCAGACAGCATTCCTGCTTCCACAGGAGTATTTGTGAGGTGTGAACATCTATAACTGGAGAGCTGCTGTATTATTCCAGGACATGAAGTGAAAGGTCTTCATAATGCTACAATGAACATGTGCAGGAGATACAGAACAAAGCAGCGCTGCCTCTTCTTTCCCCCTAATTTGAGAGATCAGTCAGATGATTTCAAGGAACAATAACCCCCACCATGGTCTAAGTACAGCTGTTTTGACACAGCAAATCCCTTACCAGCTGCCTTGGGAATTTTCACGGCAAATGTGTCACATGCTGCACCTTGTTAATGTCCGTCCTCTTCAGGGAGGGACAGGGAAAGGCATTTTCAAGAGTGTATGAAAAACACATTCTTAAATAAAGATAACTTTTCATCCTCCTATGGTTTAATGAATACTGGAAGGAGATTCTAAATTTTCTGGAATTTCAATGTGTCTCCACACAAAATGTTACACCAAACAGCAATGCATTCATCTGTTCCTGCTGTAACGAGTGTTCTTCAAACACAGTCTTTAAAATGATTGTCTTTACTTTTTGAAGCATGTTTTCCAGTAAAGCCTTTGCACATTGTATCGAAGGCTTTGTTGACAATCCGTATCAGGATTTAGTTTCTAAAAGGACAACCTCTTTCTTGATCAAAAGGAAACTCCGTGTTGCTGCAGGGCTGCCAAGACACACAGCAGTGTTCTCTTTTCCAACCATGACTTTTCCTTGAAGTCTCAGAGCATGAAAATTCTTCTAAATAAAAAAGTTGTAGAAGGCCAAAAAGTCTCAATGAAAATCATGGGTAAAGTCACCAGAACTTTAGACAGGGAGAAAGGGAAGCAAACATTTGGCTCCCAATTATAAATAATTTAAGACAACCCCAAAAATATCTGTACAAATACACACATACAAACAGAAAAATCTCATATTCCACAGATGTTGAGAGATTCAGCGACCTCTTGGGGGCACAGGTGGAGGATAAAGGCCTTCAGAGCTTATAGGCCTATAAAAAGACAGAATACAAATGCATTAAAAAAGTAACAGAGAACAGGGTTCTGGAACAAACTGCATGCAGGAACATTGTACCTAATAATGCTGTACAAACAAGAGTCATACAAGAAGAAAAGCAGGCTATCAGTGACTCAGCAATACAACTGATGCCAAAGTGCTAGAGCCCTGTTCCTGACCAAGTTACTTCTGCTCCTACTTTGCAATAATTCTACCATTACTTGGAGGAGATGGTATAATGCTTGTTTGGAATAAAACTTCCATATTATAGTAGGTTTTTTTTCCCCCTGAAGACTAGTCAAAGAGCAATAGGAAAAGAGCAAAAGGTTCAAAATATATTTATATTTACTCAAACTAAATATAAATTGTAGCTGTATTCTTGAGAGAAGCCAAGGCAAAACACAGAACTTACAGTTTCCACACATCATTAATGACTTTTAACAGTAGAAGCATTGTATTAACATCTACTCTTAAATAAACTTGCAGTGGTCGGAATAAAGGAATGTTTGCAAGGTATTTAAATTTGTGGTGGCCTGACCAAATCAATGCAACACTCCAACCCCTTCCCCAACACTTATCAAACTAGTGAGGTTCTTTGAGGCCAATCACACAGTACGCTTTGGAGAGCTCTGAAATTTAGAAAAATAAAAAACCTCATAAGAATGGCAAAAGGGAATTCCCCCTGGACCACGTTTAGTATATTCTGAGAGGATTTTCTCAAGAGGGTCAGACGCCAACCGGTGGCACGTACAGGATGCTATTTGAGCTGGGTCAGACTCACTATGGACGCGCAGTGAGTCTCGGCAGTGCTGCCCACTACTGGGGGTGCGAGAACCACAGCAGTTGCATTGCAATAGGCAGGTTACCAACGGGAAATCATTTTCACCAGGTATTACAGACGAGAAGGAAGGACCTTAGTGTTCCTTAGCAGTGTTTGTTTCCACTTCATAGCCTGTCAGGCCTTGTTGAGGAGACATTTGCTTCCTGCCTTAATTTCTACCCAGTGCTTCCCTATTGATTCTCTGAAAGCTTCCGTTTGAGCTGCATTTTAGCTTTACCTGCTTGCACCTCGAGGAGGCACTCTAGGAGGCCTTTCAGGCAGCGGGAGGGGTAGCCTCTCTGCTTGGTGGGCAAGGGGGCTGCGGCTCCTACTTGCTTCTGAGACTTCATTGTCCTAAAAAGAAATAAATATTTTTTTTAAAAGTACATCAGGATCCAAGTGATTCTGAAACACACTTCTTTGTCCCTAAAGCACGCATTTTCCTCAGTGTCCAAGTTGGCACGTAGCTTCTGGACTGGACTAGCTCATATATGCAGATATGGGAACAGTGCAATGGAGAGTAAAGACACCTGTTATTAGTAACGTGTCTGTATGCTATATATTGTGAAATAAGATAAACGAGGCCTGGCTACAGCTTGTGAGTCACCTTTGGTAGCAGAATTTCTAAGTGGTTGACACTAACAGCGTAGAGTGCAGTTCAGACAGGTCTGAACTAGCGATACAGAAACAGCAGAAGAGGATGTTCAAAATAGGTTAGAAACCACCAGCAGAATTTGGTTTTTGTTAGCCTCAAAACAGAAGTGGCTACATTTAGACATTTCCACGAATGCACTGGCATTCCTGAGCTCTTTTTCTTCTGTATATAGACAAAACCATATTTTTAAGATCAGCAGATATATATAGCTGAGATGAAAGCTTACCTCACTGTCCCCTTCCATCCCGCTGCTGACGCTCAGTATGCTCCGAGTGCTGGAGCGGTTACTCGCGCTACCTAGTGTCAATAAGCAAGAGAAAAAAAGTTTATTAAATCCTGGTGATTTAACTGCAAATCACTAACTCAGCTCCTTGTAACCTCATGCATACCTCTTCCACACATTATTTATTGCTTGTTTAGATAAAATTGTCTCCATTCATATTATTTCACATATTCAGGATCCAAATAACTGCACTTCATACAACACAGCTTTGAATTCATTCTAGCAGATTTCTCCCCTGCCTAAATCCAGGCTTCTGGTAAATACTCAACCATAATCTAACTGAAAGGATTCAGTGCCGATATCAGGTTGCAAGTCAGATAAATATTTTCACAAGTGTTACACGCTCAACTCCTATATATTTAAATTATCAGTCCCCATGTCCCTTAACTTCATGGAGGTGGATGGCTAAGGGCACTGTCACACATGAATTTCTGCAATAACTGACTGCTTGAGAGGCTGTCTTTCCCAATCGCTGTTCACCACCTCCTCTCTAAGGATGTCTACTCACCACAGGAATATTGTTAGTCTATTTCAGAGCAAAGACTGACACATTTGATCAAACTACCTTCAGCAACTATTTATGCAAACCTATTTAACTTGCATAGACTCAGAGTAGGGAATATTTTTGCAGTCAGTCATGCTAACTCTGAAGGGGACAACAGCTCACAAATATATCTAACACTGCTATGGCTGGTTTCAGTCATAAATATGTAATGTCCTATAGGGTTTTACAATATTGAGACATTGATGTTCAGAAACCTACTCACTGAAATGAAGGCTAGAGAGGATTTCTCATAATACACAGTCCTTTCCCATCCTTGGTGAGGTAAATGTCATTATCAGCTGGTCCAAACAGCATTTAGTGCACTAAGTATCACGTTAGAATCTGTTTTTGCAATCATACCATGGAAGACAGCCAAGCTGCACACTGAACTCTGCAGGGTCTTTAACAATTCTCACACAACCACTTATATGCTAGGCTCAGCTGCCTCTGGCACCTACTTCAGATGTGTGCCAGCTATATCTTGACAAGAGCCACAAAGATGAGTAACCTCACTGAGAGTCAGTGTTCCTTTCAGAGGACCAAAATGATCTTAATGATTTCTGTGAAAATTGCTCAGTCTGAAGACACAGTGAGAATGCAAGGATTTAATTTGCACAGATTAAACCTAATAAAAAACAAATATAATAAAAATTTCCAGAGCATCCAAGAGACTCAAGAGTTCAGGTCCCAAAGCAACCAATGAAAAATGCAGTCCTTTATCTATAACAATTGAGGAAATGACAAGTAGCAACACGCAGGTTCCCAGCCTGCAATACGGCTACACCCTTCAGGCCAGAACAGCACACTGCCTGCTGGGAGTCACAGCAAGGGATCATACTTTTTCTCTACAAAAGCAGCTGCCATCTACTTTTAAGAGCTGGAGACGGGGGATACACTTTCCTTGGGAAGGCTCAAGGGAACCCTTTCGCCCAGCTTTCAGGTTTTCCTCCCATAGAAATGCAGACACAAGTGTGCCCAAACCCCTTGATGAAACTGGAGTTGCTTTTACAGCTTTAAGAACAGTTTCTTGCAGGGTTCAGGGTGGCAGTGTCAGCACTGGGATTCAGCAACAGAAGTCCTAACCCTGAGGGGTGACAATCAAGGTTTGCTTACTTGTTGTGCTGGACGTGCTTTCTGTTTTCCAGTCTCCTCGCTTTATCTCCTTTTTTGGTGGGAAAACATTTTTCCTAGGGGTGTATTCATATATGCCACATTCTGGTTTCCCAAGAGTGTTATGAGAATGTCGAATGGGTACTGTAATTTCCAAATCTAGGAGAGAAAATGGGAATAAACAGCTGAAAATCATCTACATGAGTCTAGCCTCCATGAGACAGCTTCAAACCCCAAAACACACACAGTTGTGTAAGGGTGATCATAACTGTATATAAACAAATCAAAATTCACTCTACAGGTGTCGACATCCTTTTCTCAGTCTGGGAAACTGAGTAAAGCAGCTTCCTCATGTTTTACTCAACAGGCACACAAATGTGAGTATTAACATATCACATAAGTACAATACAGAGACGTCTGCCTTAAGAAGCAGTTAATATTGGCCGCTGCTTCACTACCAGAGAATGTCAGAATCAGAGGTTGTTACCTGTACTTTTGCCTGATTTTTGCTTCTCCATTTGCCTCCTGGTTATGCTGTCTCGTAGCCGTTTCAGATTTTCCTAAAAATATCACAAGACATTCTTTTCAGACTTTGGATAAAGGAGGATAAACAGCTTTCTGACAATACCAGTAACATATTTCAGCTAACTTTGCAACCAAGCTGCAACAAAGCCTGCTAGATCAGGCTGAAGTCCAAACCATGTGAAACCATCTATTCCCTTCAGAAATCCTCCTTTCAGAAGGCAAGCTTTTTCAGATGTTTATTGTGTATGTTCAGGTCAAGTTCACAGACTCACTGGTAGTTGCAGATAAGCAGCATATTTGGTTTAGAATTCCCTCTATTTTCTGTCTCTGCTATTACACTGGCATGGAAACAGGAGACACGTTCAAGTAACTGTGCGGTCCTTTCTGTACTAATGAACAGGTAATAATGACTGTGGGGACAGAGAAGGCTGCTGCACATCAGAGCATGACAGACAATGAGAGAAATGAGGATGCTCCCACTGAAGCAACAACGGATACCTGAAAACATAACTGGAAACAAAGCGTGGCAGCATACTGCAGCTTACAGTAAGGAAAGCTGGGGAGGTGGAGGGGAAAGGAAACAGCTTGTAAAACGTAAAAATTAAGAAGTTCTTGAATAGGTGGAGAAGCAGAAGGAACAATAGCTGTACCACAAGGCAGGATCTGTAGCAGACCTTGAAAGGTGCTCATGGGATAGGCCTCAGAGCACGCAACTTCCTCTCTGCTACAGAGATGTACTAGAGCCTTCGTTATTGAAGAAGGGGTTTCCCATGACTGTTTCTGTTTAGAGAGGACCCTTCCAGGTGAGAAGAACTAAAGTCTTGGCTTTGTTCTGACAGCTACCAGAACAGTATCACACACTGGAGACCAGCACCTCGAGCGCTGGGGCAGACTCTGCCACCACATGAACAAAAGGCTCCGAAAGAAGCAGGCAGTGCTTTTGAAGAGGGAGCTCCAAACTAACATGAGAGTGGAAACGTTAAAATGTGACTGCTAGTTCCCAGTCATTATGTTGCTGCTGCCAACACAATGATGCTCTCATTCGGTTGAGCACCCAAACAGTGCACTTTCACCCATGACTTTTACTTTGCCCAGCTGCAAAGAACAGGCAGTCCTGGAAGCTTTAGCAATGAAAGCCATCAATCATTCTGCCTTTTAAAGAACCTAAAGAAGCATCAGACTATTTACAAGACAGGAGTTTAACGACAATACATCATTTGGGACACACAGTCTTCACTGAACTGAAATAGATGCAAACTGACAACCCAAATGTTCATTCACAGAAGTCCCTGCCACCAGGTAGGTGCTAGGTGAAAAGAAAGGTAATTTAGCCAACTTTATTTGGGTCCAATTGCTAGTATACAGATCTTCATGTTAGAAAGACTAAAAATATTACTGCAAGATAAACAGACCTGTAAAACAGCTATCTGCTTGCTGCTGCATAGGAGCAGAGCCTCCTGTGTCAGGAGAGAACTCTACTGGATGGGGGACTGTGTTAGGAGTCTTCCTGCTCCAACCAGAAAAGAAGTGTACCCACACTGAACTGCTTCAGATACATACGTAAAGAGTGTTGACTTTCTTAAACAGTGGAATAAGTCCGTACCTGCTGGAACCGAAATGATTCTGATCTCTTTTTCTGGTTCAGTTGCCACTCCTTAAAGTGAAGTACAGCTTCATCAACATTGAGTATGCCCATTTTCACTTGTTCCTGTAACGTAATCAGCTGCCGTTGACCTGGGGTTTTCATTCCAGCAAATGGATCGTATATACTTGATTGAGACAGGTCTCTTACAGGCCTAACTATTGTCTCTGAAAAGAGAACAACAGTGAAAACATCACTGAACTTGTGGCATCTGCCCTCTTCACTGAATGCAAAGCAATTCAAGCAGCTTTGATGTAGCAGAGATGCCAAAAGGTTAATATTAGAGACTGAAAGTTTCCCTAACTATAAGAGTATTTTGTCCACATGTCATCCTGCTGTTTGTCAGGACTAAAAAATCTGAGAGGTAGCATTGTGTGCAAATACATCCTTGTGATAATCTCTGTTCTTAAAAAAAAAACACACATAATTTAACTGAACAGTACCAAAGGTCCTCCTTAAAGCACTCTGCTTCCTCACCTCAAAAGTCTCACTTCTGCACCCTCTGTAATCCATAAAACAGTATTTCACCTTTGCAATTAGAAAGCTAGACTTCCTAGATAGCATGTAGTATAACTCCAGAAACAATTGAAAACTCATCCTACTGATGCTGGCCCTTTGCAACTCATTTACAATATAAGGAGTACCCAACTCAGGAGATAAAAGCACAGGTGCAATTCCTAGCACTCTGATAATGCACAGGATAAGAAACTAAAAAATAAAGTCACAGTTTTGAAAGTGCAGAGATCAATGGGAAGCAGTTCAATACAGGTTAAATCTCAGGAAATAATGATCAACAGGCAGTGACTATATTCAGAAGAGGAACATCAGGTTGACGAGGCAATGTGGATCAAAACATAAAAAAGGGACTTCAATGATCATTAAAATCCTGACTGAGGATAAACTCTGAGACAGCAGATATGTATTGTATGAGATAAAAGAGTACCCATCACACTCGGCAGATATAAAAAGTTCCCAATGTCACATAAGGTCGGGTCATTCATATGGGACTATTATCCCCAGAGTCTTACAAAACAGCCTTATCTGTCACATACACATCTCACTTAAAGCTACCTCAGATTTGCTTTTGGATTATTTGAAAGATTTTCAGGATGAACCTCTGACTTACCTTTCTTCACCTTTCCTCTAGACACATAGAGATTCTCAGGTCTTTGTGCTTTCTGTGCAAAAACTGTAAAAAAAAATACAACCACTCTTCAGACACTGAACACATCTCAGGAAAACAGAAATAGCGTGAATGAATATGGGAAGCATATTATCATATTCAATTCTGCACCACGTTACAGCTTCTGGTAAGTCCTATTGGACCCCATTAAGTCCATAGGAGAATAGGCTAATGAGCTGCACAGTAAAACTCCCTTTCTGTTGTCCTCAAAGAACAGCCATCTCTGAGAGAAATCTGAAAATACTTTCTCATAGCAAAGTAATAGGAGGAAGGAGGAGTCACTGAAATTACTTTCCCATACTTGACTGGAGTTCTTGTTAGCAGGATTGTGAAATACGACCAAATTTTCACAAAGTGCCTAGGAAACTAAGAGGCAGTTCTCTTTAAATCCAATTAAGCCCTATCTCAGAATGAGGTATTGTCCTATACAAACGCTACAAATCAGTGATACTGTTACAGAGCAGCAATTTCTCAATTTATTAGCTTGATCATGTCCTTACAATATCAGAATCTTTCCTATTTAGTTGGATTTATTTATAGTGGCTGGGGGCAATCTGTTATCTTATTGCTTTCATTATGAACAATCATAGGCCAAGACCTCAGGATAAAAAAAAATAAAACATTTTCAGCATAGACAGAAAATGAAAAGCAGACCTGAAACTAGATCACAAAGGTAATCCAGCTTTTATGGGCTCAGAAAGACTCTAGAGCCAAATAATCAAAGGGTCACAGAAGCCACAGGTAGACTTTCTTGGTGTTTATTTGGCAACTGGAGCCTACATCAGGGCCATTCTACAGTTGACTGTTCTACAGTTCAGGTCCTGGTACCCAACTCACTTTTGGAGATGTACAGCTCATTATCTGGCTGTGGAGAGCTGGATTCTGGTCTTGGAACAGGAACTGGAGGTCTGCTGGCCATTTCCTGTGGAAAAGGATCTTGTTCCACTGAATAATATAGGTCTTCACCACAACGCTGGTAAACTCCTTCCTCTGAATCTGGCGCATCCATGCTACCACCTAAAACAGAATAGACTTTGTAAGCAAACTGGCCACTTCACTGAACACCAGATCCCTCCAGATGTACCATGTACCACATTCTTAACAAGCTGACCATTTCTTAGGCAAACATACCCAGTTTTGCAGTGAATTGATGTGCTAAAGGTCTTCAAAACAGGACTAGATAAAGTCACTAGTATCTTGTAGTATTTAAGTGTTTACTACTAAGCCACTTTACTACTAAGCCAGTTAAAAAAAAAAAAAAAAAAAGCAAAAAACAGTAGGAAGTCTCATAAGTGTCTTTAAGCACTAACATCAGTAGGTTTCTAAGTTCCAGTTAACTAACATGCCACAGTAGTTAACAAATCAAATAGAGCACTGGCTTCCAAAAGCTACCTGGGTCATCTACAGAGTACAACAGGGACTTCTTTTGTTTGAAACAAGCAATTGCCATCAGCTGACAGTATGCTTGATCTCAGAACAATGTCTCAGAAGGAGCTGGATGCATGTATTTGCGCTTAACAAGTCCCAGCTACCATTATACCACCTCATCATCTCCATTCTATTCTCACTTCCAAATTCACTGCAAATTCATCAAGTGCTGCCATACCCAATTTAACAGTTAGTTTTCTCTGTTTGTATGTTGGCAAATTACTGACTCAAGATCATAGAAAGAATTAAGAGCCCCTGGACTAACTGCCTCCTCTGCTATCAAGTCAGAAGTAAATAACCTACCCCCTGGACTTAGTGTCCTTCAGTGATTGATGCCGGTACACCTGACTGAGTCAATGCAAAGGAACTGACAGAGCACCGGTGTTGGCATGGGAAACAGAACAACATGTTAAAGGACAGACTTAATCTTGCTCTGAGTCCATTTGTGTCACCCATGAGAAGCGAGTGTGGATCTTATGGAACCTGGTGAGACAGGAAAAGGCTTGGATGACCCAATCATGCACAGTGGGAACAGCCCAAAGCGGGTCTGGGAGCCAGAAGTTCTTTTCCTCTTTCCAGGCTGCTGTATTCAAGTAGATGGGCTTATGAATAAAGCATCTGCATTAAAATTCATATCTAGCTTATGCTGTTCTACTTTATACTTTGCCCTTGTTTATGAGGGGAACCTGCACCAGATCAGGACACCAGAATTAATTCCCTTCACAAAGATAGGTACAAAGACAGCCATTCCTGAATAGATATCAACCGTGTTTGCACCCATAGGTTAGCAGACACTGGAACAAGAAGTCACTCTTATTTCTTGTAAAGAAATTCACCACATTTCTGAAGTCACCTCACAAGCTTCACAGGCTGCTTTTACTGTTGTGTCTCATTTATACCCACTAAAGCAAGGCTGTCCATATCATATGATGAGGATTAGCTCCTATGCTTAACAGATCAAGGAGAAACCTCAAGTTCAACTGTGCTATTCTCCTCCCTTTCCAAATAGGTCTCACCTTCTAAAAACTTGCGGAGCATCGAGTCTTTTGTATTTAGAGAAATTTCATCTCTGGCAGTTGGAGTGTCTGGCTTGGACTGAAGCATCTCTACATCTGAAAAAAAAAAAAAAAACAGAAAGGTGACCTTGTTGATTATGCCCTTAAACACGTGGAACAATATAATATGACATATTTCTGACTGAAATTTCATTTTACGGTGAAAATCAAAGACTAAACCAGACAACTGACAAGACAGGTGCCTCAAAAAAGGCTCATAAATTGCTATGTACAGTTCACCCTGCACAAATCTTTGCCAGCTGCCTGACACATGCTTGAGGAAGACAGATGTGACTAGCATTGCTTGGTGAGAACTTCTGACAAGGCTCCAAAGCAGACACTCCTGGGAGGCCAAAATTGGTGCAAACTTCATGAATTTCCCAAACCAGACATTATAGGCCATCTGTTCATAACACACAAGATACCTTTTGTTTGGTACTCAATAAAAATGAAAACAGCTGGATGAGTTAACCAGCTGGACTGGAAGGTGTTTAGACAGTCAAGTAACAACTTACTATGGAGAAAGAAGTGACAACAATAAGATACTTTGTGAGGTCTTTGTTTTGCAGTGAAGGATTCTGATTTAAAAACGAAAAGAAGTAACACCAACTTAACTGCACTCTAAAACTAATCCTGAAACCCTGTGATGATAAAAAGTTAGGTTCACATGTTCCTAATAATATTAAAAACAAGAGGAATATAAAAGAATTGTTGAGGCATATTGCAAAATATCAATTACCATATAAACTGGATGGTTTGGATTAACTGAGAATAGAAAATAGTACTCTGGATTACATGATGGTTCCTGTAAAGCTGAGGAGACTAAGTAAATGCTAACAATACACTACCAAGATTTTGCTTTCTTAGAATGTTTTGGTTTTCTTTTTTTTTTTTGGTTGTGGGTTTGTTGTTTTTTTTGATTGTTTGGTTTTCCGGTTAAAGACTCATTGTCAAAGGACCCAGTTATGGCTGCAAGAATGTGCCCAACCTCGCTTTAATCTCGCAGGTATACCTTCCGTACAGTCACAGCAATGCTGCATGCTGTGTGGATTAACCACATCAGCAGTTTCTTAGAGCTCTGCAGTTCATATGCCAGTTTCATGCTGCTGAAGTTAATCTGCTCGCCACCAACCTAATTTAAAGTTCACTTAATATTGCTACACTGCACAAGCACAGATTTGGCCTTTGAGCATGGTAAAGAATCAGCATTACAAACCTGTATTTTCCCTATAATTTTTCTACCTTGCAGCCAAACGTGATTATTATTTTTAACATAGCTTTTAGAAACAAACCTGGAGCAAGTATAAGCCCTGAGCAAAGCCAATACTTTATGGATTTGGGGGCAGAACAGAATTTGACAGGTGTGCAAAGTTCCTTTGATTCTCTATGGTATGAGCAGTATCCTCCCCATTTTGGCTGTGCTCAACATAATTACTAAACCAGCAGAGCAACAGGATACTGAAGGCTTTGTTTTCTATTACTGTATTAAACACAGTTAAATTTATGAACCAGTTAGTTTCACTTAATAGATATGATTGTCACCTTTATACTCTCTGGCACATGGGGCTGTCTTGCATACAGATAAGCTCAAACATCTCACTTGTGTACCAAAAATTAAAAGAAATTCTGAACTTCTCCACTGACACCTTCTGTTCCACTTGCTGCAAAACCAGGACAGTGGGACAAAAGTGACAAGGAAGCAAGCACAAAACTGGGTATCACAGTCAGGAAAGATCCCCAGATCCTCCTGAGGCTATTGGGTAATGCTGTTCTGAAGGGCTAGTGGGAAGAAAGGAAAGATGAGAGTTCCTAGATGTCAGTCTTCAGAATTTAGTAACTAAAATATATTTTTTCAAAGAGACTTTTAGTTTCCCTTTGCTGGGTTTAAGACTTCAGAAGGGATCTCAACCAATGTGCAGCAAGACATACAGAAGACACGTTATGACCTACTGACCCCTCACTAGAGCTAAAATAGGCGTATGTTGGCACCCTTTAGAAAGTAATCATATCCTTTCCCCCTTTAAACGTTTGTAAACAATAGAAGTTAAATACTCCTGTACAATAAGAAAACTTACTCTGTAAAGAGACCAGTCCTTTATTAACTAAGACAAAGGCTTCAATGTGTTGGCATAAATCACACCCCAGATGTTTTTAAGAAGTTATATTTTACTGCAGAATTCCCACAGTTCGTTCAAGGAAAACCAGGCTGCTGTTTCTTGCATTAAGTGAGGAAAAAGTGAAAGTCAATGAGGACAGTGCTAAAAACCTGGCCTCAAGAGAATAAAAATATTGGGGGAAGGAGTAGAATAAGGACATCACAACTACTATGTACTATTGAGGTTTTGAAGACCTGCAAATTATGGGACAATAGGTTTTATTCAGTTGAAACTCTCAAGGATAAAGGATGAAATTCACGCTAAATCTGAATGTCCACACAGCTCATAGATATGGAAACAACACATGGAGTCAGGACTTGTTTCCACCAGCCCTTTGCCACTGCCAGCGACTGACCTTGGATAGAGGAAATACAACCTGTTTCCCCAGTTAAAATGTCACAGCAAACTTCAGCCTTACAGTTGGAAAGTCAGCTTAGAAGGCAAGGCAGCACGTGAGAGATACTAGAGAAGGCTGTAAGGCATGGTAACACTCCATACTCCAGAGGATTCCTTTTGTTCAAACTAATCAGGTGTTTCAAACACTTCTGAACACACACACACACACACACACGCACACACACAGAAACATGGCAGTTTAATTTTCACATGAATCAAACAGGTTTTCAAGACTTTTTCAAGAGTCCTTGCTCCCAGAGCCTCGCCTCTACGCTGAGCTCTAGCATACTCAAAAATACTGTTTTGTAAAATTCAGGAGGTGGTGGTGAGATGAAAGTAGAAAAAGCAAATCTCTTCATCTGATGCTGTAGTTCATACCACCAGATCGATACGATGGAGATAACTTCCCCTTCTTGTTATTCAACTGCTGTTTGTTATAGTGTGTGAGAGACCCACCCATTTACCTGCAACCCGCACCAACCTAGAGCAAATTCCACTCGTACTCAAGAAAGTTATGTTTGACATTACAGGTATTTGAAAAGGTAATAAAAGGGAAGTGCTCTTCTGAAGCAGGAATGATTACAGTTGATAATAAGAAGTTAAATAAGACAATTCAATCTAACTTAAAAAAAAATAAAGCAAACAAGGTAGTAGCAGAAACTAGTAAGTTTCCAGTGATTTAGTTAGGAGTACTTTATGAATTACACTGCTCAAGGTATTAAGACCTATCTGACAAAGAATACCCCTCTCCAGCAGAAGGGGAGGCAGTGTATTACTATAGATGAAGAAAATCTTTTCCATTTTTTAAACCCATTATTTATCCCAAAGCTAACAGGGACAATTAGCAACTCAAAACAGCTACGTGCAACCTTCATGCAGCACCACTTTAGGCAAAGCTAGTCCTTGTACAGCTTCTTCACTCTGTGTTTCCCCAGCATCAAAAGCAGATAGGAAAAAAATGTATTAAAAAAGTGGGATGAAAAATACAAGAACTGGCAGAACACTCCAGCATCTAAATATTTGCTACTACTTTTAACTCATTACAACGGCTCCAGTCCTGCATTACCTTGTTTTCATATCAGTTTCTGCTAGGCTAATTGACTTAGTGGTACCAACCTTCTTTTGATCAGTCTCCAAAAAACTGGTGGAAGCACATTCTGATCACAATATCTGGGCACACTGCCACAGTATGTCTACATTTAAAAAAAGCCCAAGTATTGTCCTCTAGACCACAACTGTAATCACTTACACAAGGGCTATTCTGACCTGCAGAAAGTACCTCAGTAAGAGCTGTTTACTATTTCCTAGGAAGCTTTTTGTCCTCAGAAAACAGTACAGAAGACTGAAGTTTGTATTTGTGATGTCAGTCCTAAGCCAGCCAGCACTCCCACTAATTTCAGTGGGAGTTTACCTCTGTGCTGGTATTCTAAATAATGTTGAAACTCCTTCAGTTTGAGGGAACAAGACCAATTGTGGAACATGGTGCCTGTTTAACCTTTACCTGTTATGACACAGGCACCTGTTATGGCATATTAGGCACCATTCAGACAAGCTGTAAATATTCATCAGACAAAGACTAACAGACTACATATAAATACAGGTATTTTCTGTAAAAGATTCCTGAGTGGAAGGTGACAAAGAAGTGTGCACAGGAGCAATAAGTTGGGAGATCTCCAGAAAAAGCAGGGAACACTCATTGCCCTTGCTAAGTGTTACAAATAAGCCATATAGCACATCTATCCAACATTTTAATACAGACTTATCCAGCCATGCTTTCTAGTACAGAAGTCGTAAATATCTACTTCAGAGTCAAGCTTGGGTTTTTACCTCTCCAGTCCTACTAGCCCTGCAGAGCCCACAGCATGTGTAAACACCAGGAAAAGTTTCTGGTGCTGACCCTAAAGACCTCTACCACACTACTGATGTAGTTGCTCTTGCAGAAGGGTCCCCTGAAGGGCAGTGGCCTGCTGGGCTTTCACTGCTAAAGAAGCCTAAGAAAAGCAGACTGACTTAGGCTTTGAATGCACAACTTTCCTATCCCTAGGCAGCCAATTCATTAGCTCTCCATTTCCATGCCTGTCAGCCAAGCAGGCTGTTTTCCGTATTCCATCCTAAACACCAGCCAAGATCCTTCCTAAGATCTGCCAGAGTAAGTGGGAGCAGAAAAACCTGTATTCTTGAACAATAAACTCAGTGTAGTTTGACAGAAACAGGCAAGAATACACATATGTAAGGAATTCAGGTGGCACACAGAGAGGTGGTGATCTTCAGCAGGGAAGAAGCCAGAGTCATAGAACAATTAGCTCTTCCACCAACAGTCTACAGAACTGGCAAATAGTTTTCTTAACAGCAAGCAATTCTGATCTAAATCTGAACCAATATGAAGACATTTCAGAGAGGCTTTTCAGAGTCCAGTTGAAGAAGTGGTAAAGTACAGGGGGTTTGACTTGCATTCATGGAAGAGAGGAATACCCCCCTTCACAGTGTCTGGGATTTCTAGATTTTTGAGGAGTGGAAGACAACAGGTTAGTCTCGGTGGTTTTAAGCACATTTTCCCCCCTCTGCAGAATTTTTCTATCAACACCATTCAGAGATGCACTGACTGCAGTAGAGCTTCTGAATATCTGGAAACTCCCACCCTCTTACTGTGGACAACAGCAGCTTTGTTCCATAGGAGTACAACTGCCCTTACTGCTTATTCACCACCTGAAGGCACAATAATCCTGGTTTTGACAGCAACAAAACTAACCCCACAGTAGCCGAACAAAATTTAGCAGAGAGGTATATATGATTTCAGGCAGAGAACAGAGTTTTCTGGTCTCCACGACCAATAAAAATGTGTTTTATAGCATTGTTTAATCTAAAAGAGAAGAAAAACAACCCATGACAGATAGAGTCTATAAGCAAAAGTGTTTCAGCAGGAAAAGCTTTTCTCCCAAGGCAATACACTTAAAGTTGCAGAAACATTGGAAGCCCTTACGTGGGTACTTAAACTATAATAAGCTACACTTTCTGCTTATCATGGGAATGATAAAATGTAGCAGTGGGATGAAGCAAGACCAAGAAGGAAGATAAGAACAGCAAATTTACAATTGCTTAACATAAGTTCTTAACTTTATATTTGCAATCAGCCTCACTGAACGTTAATAGTGAAAAAGTTAAACAGCTGCATATTTACCAGAATTAGCTCTACGTTTTCATCAGTAAACAAGGTGAATTAGGATCATGATTTTTCAGTTTCTATCTTTTTAGAACACATTTCTAGATGTTCATTTTCCTTTGTTCCTAAGCTGCTGAGGTAGAAGCTCAACTCACGTTTGAAATCTTTCAGTGTTTCACAGTTGTAAGTAAAATTACATCTTGCACAGTGTTGTCTTCCACTAAGTCAGTGTCTCTACATCTCAGAGGGATCTCAGGAGGGAGAAATGGGAAACAAAAGAAACTTTCTCTTCCAAATGCTACATCAGTTGCTCAGGATTCAGACAGTCTTCAAAACACTGAGGAAATGGCTCTTGACCATGTACCCTGGCAACCACAGAAATCCTTAGGGCAATTTTATCAGCCAGCCAATGCCAAAACCAGAGCATGGCTTCCTTACCGTGGTATCAGAAAAGCTATAACCAGCCCTCACTCTGAAACTCAACCAGGGCACTATTATTGTGTAAGAGAGACAGAGCAGCTGAGGCTTCTAAACCCAGAATATCGCAGTGATTATACATACAAAGGTCTTCTGGGGCACCCGGGACAAATCCAGCCATGGATTCATATAGCTCTTCATCGGAGCCAGGATTCAAGGAACACTTCATTAACAGGTCAGTGGAAAGATGAGCCATGGACTCATAAACAGACTCATCCTCTTCACCTTGCATTAGCTCTTCCTTAATGTGACTCTTCAGCATATCTGCTGTTTCCTAGAGAGAAAAAGAGTCCAAGGAAAAAAAAAAAAAAGCTAATTTAAATAAAAAATCTGGAGAATCAATGCAAAACAAAACATTTTTCTCCCACCACTGATGGAAAGAAACCTTCCAAGAGTAGCCCATTCCCAAAGACTAAGGCTTCTCAAAGGAATTTAATCTCCATTACAGCTGTTTGGGGCCACCCTTCAGGATCTACGCTGTAACACTAGGTAACAAAGGTGAAGCAAAGAGGTTCTAAAACATTCAGAATAGCCAGTATTATTTTTCTGTCCATCAATTTCATTTTCTACCTGATGTCTTCGAGCTCCTGGAACATGAGCAAAGTTCATTCTAAAATTACAACGGTTTGTCAAAGGTTATTTTGGTGTAAGCGTAGCTTACATGACCATAAGGGGGAAAACTTGCCGCATGTGGAGCGCTTTCAAGAAAGCAAAGTTTTAGCTTTGCTGTAGATTCAGTTTCAATTTCTTGGCACTAGCAGCAGCACGTAACACACAGAGTGGGAGTCCACAGACCACCTTTTTTTTGGTAAGACTAACAGGAAACCTCACAGCAAGCAGCTGCTCATGCAATATGGGCAACTTTCGATTCACAGGACAGCAGAACTCTCTCATACATTTGCCACATGAGGGGAGAAAATAAAAGGTATGGAGGGCAGTGCTGACCTTTACCAAACACCACAGGAGAGCAAAATGAAAATCTTCATCCCAGCTTCCTTACCAAGCTCCTACTATGTCACAAGCTCAGACATCTTAACTGGTTGCAGTACTACAAGACATTCTTCTATCCACAACCATCACCTCATTGGCCTTCATCCATGGGGCATGTGTCAAAACTGTCCACACATGCTTCCGTTCACAGCCAAAATGGGTCAGTAGCTCACGTAATGCTTTAGGGAGGTGAAGAGGAACTTTTGCCAGACATAAAACGAGGTGAGTAAAGGGGGTTACTAGGATTTTCAGATATCCATATTAGTACTCCTTCTAAACCCACAGCGCTCCTAGTCGCTACCCTGCTGTGGACACACTGGTGCAGATTATTTCTGTGCTATTATTTCTGGTGCTAAATTGCACAGATAGTTTGAAGGCTAGTAAGCAGGACCTACTCTTAACATAGCTCTGTCACTCTGCTGGTAAAGAAAACATGGGAGGAACACAGTACAGCAATAAAGTTGAAAGGACTTCCTGAGCATCTCTCTTACCCCAATGCAAAGATTTTAATCATAGTTTACAGTTTCTGTAGCCTTCCTGATCTCAGGACAGGATATGACCTTTATTTAGCTCTGATATATAACCCTAAATTTATCTTCCTATCACGAAGCAAGTCCCTAGTCTAAGAACTACCCATACCACCAAAATAGGGCTTAAATACTGCTGTAATAGACTGGCGTACTTATCTCCCACCATTCAGGCAACTGCTAGGGACAACTACGTACGCCATTTCAACAAAAAGTAAAGGCAGATAAAATCTAGTCAGTAATTTGGGGTTCTGGACAACCTTATCTAGTGGGTGGCATCCCTGCCTATGTTGGGGAGGAGAGGGGGTGTCCACATCATAATCTGGAAGAAGTCAGGGCGCTGTTTGCTGGGGTGGCTCAAAGGAGAACCGAATTGTGAATTGAGCTCCCACAGCAAGAACAAGTGGGAAATGGACAGATATCCCAACACAGGAAAAAATGCATTTCATGTAGAACAAAAATCAGCTGTGAATGATCTGATAATCAGACTGTACTATGACTGATCAGAGTACCTCAGACTGTACCTTCCCAAACATATTCAGTTCCCATAGTACCTCCTAAAGTAAGTGAGATGAAGGGGCTATAGTTTTTCCAAGATCAGAAATTAGAAGAATACAACAGACACCATGTGGCTGCAGAAACATCATTAGATGGTTGAACAATAAGGAAATCCAGCATGGCAGGCTCTGCTTCCATCTTATTTGTTCTGTTGAAAAGTCCTAAGAACTTTCCTGGCTCCAGAGGTGAAATCAACCCTCCCACATGGAAGCTTTCATGGTAGCTGGACATCTACTCCCTACCACACCACTTTGTACCTCAGCACTCCTGGTCCCACAACACTTTCAGTGCCGAGCTTGGTGCCACTGCCCAAACCTGCTGAAAGAACAAAGAAGGACTGCTGCTCCCTCTTACCACATATTCATCAATGAATTGCCGGAGGTCCTTAAAGCCATGCTTTTCTGCGATTGTGTTTGGATAGTGGCCATATTTGTTGGCCACACTATATGCCTGCAGTGCTCCAGGGCATGTCAGCAGCAAAGCGGTGAGGTTTTTCAGCCCATATCTTGCAGAAAAGTGAAGCAGCGTTGGCAATTCCTCATCCCTCTGATCTGTGAGAAGAGATGTCTGTTAGAATCTAAGCTTCTTTCTAGCAGCAGCAGAGACAGCAGATGAGAAACAGACTTCCTAGCAAACGCACCAACCAAAGCAGGTTTGAAAACCCTGAAAAGCTCCACATTTCAAAATGGAGCTAGCTCTGCACAAGTGAACTACCTGAGGTATCTAGCACATCCCCACATTTGATTGCTATGGTCTTTAATGGGGAATCTGGCACTGTACTAGCTGCATGTACGTAGGATCACAGGTTCAGAAGGAGCTCTTTAATCATCGTTCCAGTAAGTTCCAGCTGCTGTAAGGAATCAAACCATGGTACCACACCAATCCAACTGCCAAGTGCCCACCGTGCACCTTAGAACAGACTCATGGGGTAGGGGGAAAAAGGACTGTGCTGGGGAAAAATACCGCACAGGACTGGAAGAATAAGTGAGAAAGTAAGGCAAGCATTTCCGGGGGCATCATCTTTTCACTTTGTGGTTGAAGCTGTCTACCTAGCTGTATCTGCCACGCTATAATAAAGTGAGACAGACACGTAATAAAAAGGGACACACAACCAGCTCTAGACATAATCTGAAATTTAGCTTCCTGGCTGAGATTCAAAACTTGAGACAGCCTGTGCAGGTACACACTTCAGTATTAAGGTGCTCCAAGGAAAAACTACTGATACAGATGAAGTTTCAAAAGAAAACAAAAATATTTCAACTTGCTTGTCATCATATCGTTTTCTTCCAGCTGGTTGATTCCAAATAGGTGTAAGCCACTGGCAGGAATGTTCTTCTTCAGTGACTCTGTCAACAATTTGTCCAGTGCTTCTATGCTGTATGGCACAATTTTAAAGGCCTAGAAATAGATGGAAAGTGATTTTGCTTGGTTAAGTCTAGAGAGTCATTTAAGATGAGACTTGGAGGGTGATGTAGTAAGTTTTATTTATTTAGAATATATCAGGAAACAATATGCATAGACACTGAGGGTGGCAATGTTTAGATAAACAAGGAACATGAAGAACTTCATGGTCCAACAGAGTATGATTAATCTAAACAGGTAAGAACTACAAACTCCACAACAAGACAGAGTGCAAGGTGAAAGTCACTCATGTAACTGGAAGCATGGAAGACTTATTTCCTACTTCCTTGATGGGCATAATCTCACTTTTGAAGCTGCTCCAGTGAAGTGTCACTCATGCTCTAAGTATGAATAGGTCAATTTTGAATTGCCCTGGTGTACACCCTGGCTTTTGGACTAGTGCTTAGTCAAAGACTGTGAAGCATGCCTTTACCCCAAGAAGGAGCACAGCCCAGTACCAGCTGCTCCTTAACTTGAATTAAAAAGGAGGTGAAAGACAGTCTCCTCTACCCCAGGCATGCTGGTGATTAACACCGCTCTCTGTAGGCTTCTGCTACATAGCTAATCAGGGATATGGAGGCAGAAAGCACAGACAACGGATCTGGAGAACTTGCTCGTGCAAGCTTTACCACTGTAACAGGGTTCAGGTACCCTAACTGGCAAAATATGATACAAGAACTGAGGACAGGCTTTAAAGAAATAGAACTATTTGTTTATTCTTAGTACTTATTTTACCCTTCTTCAGTCAGCTGGTGTAAACTATGTTACATTTTCACATCTTTTGCAAAAACCCTTTGGTACAAATTTCCAAACATTTTATGCGATACTTTCTACTGTATCAAGTTCTGTCACCTTAATCTTTTCAAATCAAGGTCTAAACATGGGTGTTGACTGATAGTATTTTCTTTGTTAGCTGGATGGCCTGAATTGCCTTAGCTAACTATTTGTTCCAGATACGGTAAAAGTACCTGTGCTTTTGTTCTAAGGGGATTTTTAGGGACCTTCTCATAGCCCTAACAACTTTGCATTTCTGCATTCCAGAAAAGCAAGAGCGCTTGCCACAAGGTAGCTCACGTCCACCTATCTACTCTTTGAGAAGAGCTGGTTTCCAAAGCAGCCGTTTGCTAGAGTTGTTACCTGGCACATGAACTGTACTGGGTTGGCTGCATTTGCCAGCAGACTGCTGATTTCCTCCATGTCGGTATGGTAGGTGACGCTCGTTTCTCCCACCATCAAGTCCCCTGAGTATATCTTTAGAGGCACTGTCCCAGAGGTTAAATCTTTGAAAGAAACGAGAAGAAATCACCTTTAAGAACTAACAATGGCAACAAGTCTTCATCAAATGCTCCAGGTATAGGAGGAAATTGGAGATACTGTCAGCTGGATACCAAAATAGTTTCTGTTATATACAGTTCATGAAAAGTCACACAAAAGAAAGGTGATGATATTCATCTGAATACCAGGCAGGAAAGTACTTTGGAACAGCCTCCTTCATAGGCATGTCAAAGCATAACACCTGACCTTCTAGGTCATCTGCTAACCCTAGTCTGGACCACTAATGGTAACAGTACTCCACCTCAAATTACAGAACCTCATCCCTCTCCACATCTGGCTTGGGATTTCGCATCCCCTCTCAGTCTCACTACTCTCTGAGTGAAATCAGCTTAGAAGATTTCAGCTTTGCAAGTTTACACGGGCACAGGATTTCTCTCTGACATGCAACTTGGGAGCTTCCTAATATTTTACCCAGTGTGTACTCATAGGTCTGAGCTCTGAAGCACACGTATTTTGAATCCCACTGAAATGAATCTTTCCCTGTCTATATGCCTGGCTGTAACAACTAAGCAACCAATGAAATGGTTACTGTCACACCTGAAAGGAATTCTAAATATATTTTAGCTCTGCAGTTTCTAACAAATACATGTGTACTACATCAAAGTGAAAGTCAGGCTTATAATTCAAAGTGCATGTTAGTTTCCAGGTACATGTTTAAATCAGAAGTCTTGATTTAGGACAGATTAAACTGAACATCTGTATGTGGCTGAGGTAGTTTTCCTTAGACCCATCCACTTGATTGACTTCTTCAGAGTTGCTGTAATGGCTGTTAGTGTCTATTCCCAGACCTAATACATTGACTCTTCACGAACACAGACCACAGTAGGTTAAATAAAATAATCCTGGGAAACCACTATCACTAAAAAGATCAGAAATCTTGCCCCTAAAGGTTACTGAATGAAAAGTTTAGACAACTTAAGCTTTTGTAAGTGTAAATATCTAGAATGACAGAACACATCTGAATTAAAAGACAAGCTACGATAAACAGCTTCATCTCTAATCACACAGAGATCATCACACATTAAACATGTACTGTTATAATCATGCAGTTATTTACCAGCACTTACCTTCTCTTCATGCCTGCCAATACTAACATACTGGTAATACTAACATATAATTAAGTTCAAAGTGCTATACAAGCTGTAATCTTTCCTCAGAACTCCAACTAAGTTTTTTCCACATTGCAACCCCACGACTGCTGCCAGGAAAACAGATCCCGAGCAGCACTCTCCTCAGTTCCATACCAGCAAAGCATCACAGATGAGAATTCAAGTTCAAGATTTCCTGGTGTCAGTGTTTCCCACACTGCAACCTCCACCCTTACACCCCTGACACTTCTCAGGACAGGTAGGTTGGGATAGAAAGGAAACAATGAGAGGTGGGGAGGTGGAAATTCAAAGCTCAGCCCAGCTTACTTGGAGCTTCCACGGAGATTGTGTACTCATTCTCCATCTCAGCCAGCACACACACAGACGATGCATTCTCTGGAGAGAATTCCACTTCAGTTTTCACTTTGCTATCTAGTCTACATTTCATGATAATATAAATAGTGGTCTGCACCTAAGAGAGAAAGGCATTAGAATATGTAGTTTCACAATACAAGAACACTTATTTTAAGCCCCCTTTCCAGGGATTTTGTTGTTATTGCGACTAACAAGTTAACATCTGTCATTTCCACAGTCTTGAATGATTTTCAGTAACATCTTCCAGTCACTGAGTTACTAGGCAGGTGGCTTCTGTTACAGCTTGCACCAGCACGAATACAGACATTAAGCTGATAAAAACTCTGTGATGCTATATTTATAATCTGATTTACTTTCAACCACAGCGGCCTCTTCCCTCAAGCAGCACAGCCCCATTTTGAACAGACACAAAGGAAGAAACTTAAAATTAAAATTCACATATTCTGGAGATGCAACAACCTTATCCAATTATTTTTTATTCTATCTACCTGTGTAGCACGGGTCTTTAGCCAGAGTTTTGTTTAAAAGGCAAGAATTTCAGGTCTGCAAAATTCTCATTGGCCCTATGTTTAACAGTTCAGTTATTACATTACCTGTAATAAAATGTATGAGATAGCTGAAGTCCTTCATTTGGCCTGAGATTTGTCTAGCCTCTACTTATGTGAATTATGAAAGTGAATTCCTGGACCAGATTCTCAGTTCTGAAAACTAGGAGATTTCCTGGGTCATGCTTTGCGGCAGCCCTTCATACTGCAAATGTTGTACTGCTCAGCCATCACCCAGTCAGGTTTTCAAAGATCACCAAAGGCCTGACTTGTGGCCACTTACATGGCTATGTTAGATTCTACAATAACTAACCTGAGAGAAGCCTGAAGAGACATTCTTGTCCACAAACTTAAGCTGAACATAACGATCCCTACCTGGGCCAATGCAAGCAGCCCAGCAGCAACAGAAAACTCAAACGATTCAAGACGGAGTAGAGTCATCTTCCCTAACTCTCATATAACGATTTATTGACTTCATTCCTAGCTGCTCCTTACCATGCTGCAGCTCAACTCAAAACACAGACAAGCCACAGCAAAGGAGTTTTACCTACCTCAACATCATTGTAAAGTATATTTTATTAATATCACAGAATGATTTCGGTTGGAAAGGACCTTAAAAATCATCTAGTTCCATACACACACACAGACCCCTGCCATGGGCAGGGACACCTCCCACTAGACCAGGTTGCCCAAAGTCCCATCCAACTTGGCCTTGAACAATTCCAGGGATGAGGCATGTCTGTTGCTACCACTGCCACCCGTCACCTGCACTAGAGAAATTCACAGACTCACAGAATCATCTAGGTTGGAAGAGACCTCCAAGATCCCCTAGCCCAACCTCTGACCTAACACTAACAAGTCCTCCACTAAATTCCTCCATCAAGGAAGCAAAAATACTCAACCAAGTCTTGGAAACACATGCAGTGAATTCACAAATAGATGCCCGGTATATACAAGGGGACAGCACTATTCCCGTGAACAAGCAAATAAAGCTGATACCAAAAATTCCAGGTACAGTGTTCTCTGTGTTAAGTCAACAACTGTGTAAACATTTAAAGCATTCCAACAGTCTGCTGACTTCCCAAACCACCCTTGCCGTGAACAAGTCACAAGCCACACACACCACAGAGGGAACAAACTGTTTCGGTAAGGATACTTCCTAAAATGACCATTCCTTCCTTTCACCTTTCCCTCTTCCCCAAGAGAATGCTATCCCACGTCAAGAGCAGATTATGTCTAAAGTCCAAGGCACATATTCATAGACTACTGAATAATCCAACACTGAACATCCACGACTCTTGCTACAGGCTCAGATGCACCTCAAACGCAGCACGCTGCAAGGTACACACTAACACTACAAAATAAATCCATCTACCTGACTACAGGACGTGCTGTTTCACTGTCACACACTGAGCTCTTGCCAAGGCAGAAACAAGGTTCTAATAGCCATTTGCAAGCTTGTTACTCCCCCTCCCCTTTCGGTTTACTTCTGGTTTCACTTCAAGGTGTGGTCAACAGCATTTGAGTTCCTTTCCAAAGCCAGGAGACAGACTGTTTCTACCAAATTTGAGCTATTATGTTTATTTTTTTCAAGTTTCTCTGCACAGCACAAAGGTCAGGTTCTAAGTAAAAGCAGAGGATCCCCAAATTACACTGCCTTAACTGGTGCTTTTAGAAAAAGCACAAAGCTCCTAAGAGTTGGCAAAACTGATATGGACGAAAGAAAAAAATAAAACAGTGCTTCACTTCAGTGCACTGAAGCATGAGTCCGCCCCTGGCAGGGGGGCAGAGGAGGAAATAATGTAAAGCAGCAGTCACACTGCAGTGGAGCTTTGCTAAACTGTTAGATGAAGTTTCCTCTGACAGCCAGACCCTCCTACACCAGTGCCTCACATCTCAAAACTATGCAATGAAAGCCCAGCCACTCTGACTGAAAAGTACACTACAGAGGAGGTAGAGACAGTGGTGCCATACACTTCTCTCCCAGTGAATGGTATTAGTTTTTTCCATCTGACACAATGCTAGGCTAAGAAATGTAATTTTTCAGACAGGAAGCCATGATCCCAGCTCTTTGAAGTCACTTGCAGGACGTGCACCAGAACTGCCATACTAGATTGCATCTAGGCTCTGAAGTTGTCTCATTACCACCACCTTACTCCACTTTGCACCCCTAAATGTCACCAGAACATAAAATGGGGAGTCAAGAGTGTGAACTTGCCTCATAACACGCAAGACAAGCAGCTATATTAGTGACAGTATCCATCAGTAAGTGACATTGCAGCCTGGATGATAGCAGACACTGCGTATTACCAAGCTATTTCTGGGCCTAGGGAACTGAGCTCTTAAAACTGAGACACTGAGGACAGGGAGCTGAATGGGACAGAAAAAGAATTATGGACTGCTTTCCAGGCCTGTAAAGCTGCCCACTACAGAGTAGCATAATGTGTTGCACCAGCACACAAGAACACAGCCCACGGAGTGGCCATACAGTACCCCACAGCGTATGCGGTCAGGCTGCACCACCGGATGGTCCAGCAGTGCTCGTGGATGATCCATGCTCTTCGTTCATGGCAAGGCTGCAGGAGTAAACTGGGTTCTTCTCGTCTTCTGTTTCTGTGTCAGTCACAGAGTCACAGCCCGAGTCTAAAATAAAGCATATAGAGTCCTATTACATCGTTTCCATTTGCTGAAAATGCACGGACATATATACATCAATCCTAGGAAACAGCCACAGAGGCCAGGTGGAACTTGCAACAGTTCTCAAACCAATGTTTAGAAATGGGGATCTAGTTGAAGAAAGGGAAACTACAGAGTTTCCTCATTTATTCCGTTAAGGGGACTGCTGGGGAACGTTCAGAAAGACACAAAAGTGCTGGAGAAGCACTGAACATGCTTACAAAACAAACACAAAGCCACTCCTATGATGAGATGGATACTCCCTTTCTCTCATTAGGTAGGAAAATAAGTATCTTAATGTCTGGTGTCAAAGTGATCAGCAAATGTGGAGGACTGTTAGTGTTAGGTTAGAGGTTGGACTCGATGATCTTGAGGTCTCTTCCAACCCAGAAATTCTGTGATTCTGTGATTCTGTAAATGGACTCATCTGATTCCAGCTGCACTCTCAGTGCACTGCAGAATAGGCAACAACCTTTAAAGTCCTCCTCTCCTAAAGAAAATGAAGATCTACTTTTATTTCAGCAGTATCTTTACTTTTCTGGACCCTGCTTGCACTGCTTACTCCGACTCCTAAGTTTACTGTAATGTTGATAAAATACAACATGAGGCAATAGTCTGAAGGGATCCTACTACGCAAGCAAGTATAAGCTCCTGTAACTATACAAGAGTGAACTTGAAACATATCAGAGCCTTCTCCTGGAAGAATCACAGCAGTCTACCCAAATAAGCCCAAGAGAAGTAAACACATGTAACTCCACAATCTGCGTGTACAAAACATTGTTCTCCTTCCTGATTCACAGTAACGCCATAGATGTTTTATTGATGGAAGACCAAACACTTGGACACAAAAAGGATAGCAAAAAATAACATATACGAGAGTTATCCTACCCTGCCAGGAAATACTTTCCCCAGCTGCAGAAAGGAAATAGACACATTTGCATTTAGTTAGTAGAAAGATTTTTTTAAAATCTGGTTTCTACCTCAAATCATACCTTTTTTTTTTTCCCATTTTCCCAAAACATGGGGTAAAAGTCCCCATGACAACTTTCTTTTGTCAGAAGACTAGCATGAATTCTTAAGCCTACCTACAATAGGCAAAAAATTCCATTCAAATTTTGGAAAACTGTGAAGCAATGAAAAATTTAAGACAATATTTTGGAAATTTTTCTTTTATTTACTACTTACACATCTGTAAAGAGCAATACAAATTATTTGCCCCCAAAATTCCAAGAACATCATTTCCAAAAATGAAGACCGCCAAAAATTTATTAAAGCAGGCTTCTGTTAGGATGTCAGGTCCTGTTAGTCTCACACAGTGAACAAGAGTGAGTCACAAATTTAAGTCTAGACTTCTTCCTTATTATAATAACTAAAGATTGAAACTTAGGATATTTGAAATTGTCACACATTTTTAAAATGTATTTTAAAGTATTTTCTACACATTTGAACAGGATTTTATGAACTACACAGATGTGACTGTGCTTTTAATTGACGAGTTTCAAGTCACAAAAGGTTAGCAAATTATTCAGCTGAAGGTTTGGTCACAGAGTCACACACACACTTAACTTTAAGCTCGTGATTCATTCTACATAGCAAGTATAACCACAATGCTGCTTTAATATTTGCTGTAGAAAGACCAGAGCCAAAAATCTGCAGCCCTAAAGTCCAAGTAAGGCACCACTACCAATATCAGTATTTCTTAAACGTAGAACAGTGTATGTCAATAAGACATGGAGATTTTAAAACAGCACCAATGCAAATTTGCAGATTTGACAGAGAAGAAACTACTTTGACACAGGGCTACGTACTGAAGATCTTACGGATTTTCAGGCTGCATCAAAAAGTATTACAGAAAATGGTCTGAGGTTTTAAATTCCTTAACTCAATATGTTGATTATCATCCAAAGTTATCAGCTGCAGAAGCCAGATCTCAGTTTTGGGAACCCTTGTCCTGGGAAAAGGTGGGCTGCTCCCATCTGGGAGAGCCAGGCTGCCCAGTTGCACAGGAGAAAATTAAAGCAGTAGTCCCACATCCTTCCCTTGCATGACTGCAATCACTTGAGGTGTTTGGCATATGCAGAGCAAGGCAGCATATCCCCTTAGGAGGAGAAGAGGCAACTGTTACAGAATTGAGTCTTATCTCTTGGTTATTTCCAGTATGACTAAATCAGAAAGACTAAGCACATCACAGATAACAGAACCAACAATGACCAGACTAGGAACATGTTAATATTTCTGAATCATAAGCACAAGCTGCTAGGATCCTTACCCTAAGCACACCATCCCCACTCCTTAATATGGAGCCATCGGTGTGGTAATTTGCCCAACATATGGTCTGTGTCAGAGGAAAGAAAACCTACAGCTGTGGATCTCAGCTACAACATCTAAAGTAAGCATGCATGAGAGAGAACAAGCCTCCAGGCCTCTGCTTTCCTGACATTATTTAACACTGGTAAATAATTAGCAGGACAACTACAGGAGTCTGCACTTGAGCTGTTGAAGAAGTTCCGGCATTGCTAGATCCCATCTTGAACTTCTGCTTTCCTGTAACAGAGTTGAGTGCCTGGAGGTCATACGTAAGAACAGAGCTGTTAGGTAATATGGGAAAAAGCACTGTTAATCAGTAATTAGATTAACAGCTGACGGAACAAGCGCTGGGGTTTTGGGTATGAATTATTCATCTGTTTTCTTCATTCAGAAAATTCTGAAATTGTAAGTCACCAACTTCCCCAATAAGCAGCGAAGTGATGCCATGGCCACCTCGCAGGTTCCAGTCACACGCCATCTTATGAACATGCAAGGAAACTGTGCCATTACATTCAGTAATACCCATGCTCTAAAGTGACATGCTGTTAGATCAGGCCTCCTTCTCACTCAGATACTTGGCTAACGACAACCCATTTGCATATAAAGATTCAGCAATTATACCGCTGTAACTGGAGCCAGGTTAGACCGGCCATCACTGAGATCAGACACATTAGAAAGTGATGAGAATAATACCTGAATTGAGTTTCTCCATGAGCAGCTGCTGTAGGTCAACAGCTTGTGGTTATAAAAGGCTCTGCCTTCACTGGAAGCCCTTTCTATTCCCCTTTAAAAGAAGGCTACCTCAGGCCACGCCTGACAGTGTCTGCAATACTCATGAGAATAGCAGCTAGAGGAAATGCGGTCCAAGAAACCCAACCACATTTCCCTTCGAAGACTGTGCTCCCCACCAGGAAACATCAGTAGCTCCGCTGCAGAGCGCAGCCCACACAGCCCCTTATGTCCATCCTGCCTGGCTCCCCACGCAGCTTCCCTGCTGGAACTCACCCCTGGGAAACACAGGCATGGCCACGTCCTTCACGAGCCTTTTAGCAGCTCTAGAAACCAGCACAAAGCAGCCAGTTATTTTGATATTTTGCTGTACAGAGCACGGAGCTTGCTCTGTCATCCACTTCCTCCTGGCCAAGCTGCGTGGAGCTGACAGCTGTGGTTTCTCAGAAGTCAGCCCTGACACCACAGGACATGTGAGTGCTTGGATGCAGTCAGCAGCCTGCCCTGGCCGCTTTGCCATCCAGATACCAAGGCAAACGGCATGACTGAGCAACTCCTTGTCCTTGCAAGTTCTGCATGTGTAGACTTCCCCCTCACCAGCACCTGTCTGTCAACCAGCTCACCGGCAGAGGAGACTGGTTTTCACAAGACCTCCAACTTTCACCTTGGTATACCTACAGCAAGACAGAAGACCTTCAGAGAATTCTGCTGTCATCCAAGACTTACAGCTGGTCAGCTTCCTCTTCCAAACATGAAGGAGGACATTAAGACTGCAAGTAATGCCAGCTGCCTTTGCAAGAAGCAGGCAAAGTCCTGATAAACAAGTTGGAGGAGCAGGGAAAGTTATCTCGCATCATGCTAACCTCAAGGTCCCTGCTTTCCTCAAAAGAAACACATTCAGGCAGTATTTTGTGATAACCCCTCACACCGGGTTATACCATAGCAACACTTCCCTTCTCAACAGAGTGAAGAGAAGCATGCAGAAAAGCAGCAGGTGAGGACAAAAACTCAGCACAGGAAATAGGACTTTGTAAAACTGCCTCTACAAAATAACTTACGTATGGAACATCTCCCCCTCCTCTCCAAACACCACCCCAAGCAGCTTGTTTAAATCTCCAAGCACAGCACCTAAAACCAGATTCTCAGTTCTACAAAGCAAGTGGTCACATTTTATTTGTGGTTATATTTCCAACCCCCCCTCCCCTCCCCAAGGAAACAAAGCTTATTTTGCTATGCCAAGATTTGCTTGAGCAACTGTGCATAGCCACACATGCCCATCTCTTAGGGAAGTTGGTTTCGTGCTACGAACACGACCGGGTTTATCAGAGACCTGCCGACAGGACCGATGCTTCAGCAAACTGAGAAGCCAGTTGGTAAAGTTGTGTTTACCCCTGTAACCTCCTAAGACAACATACACCCTTAACACTTGAGAGCACACATTACTCCACAGCTCCTCTATGAATCACATCTAACTTCAAGAAACGCTTTTCCCTTATTGTATTTTAAAAGTAAAAACATGAAACTGAAAGAGCAAATCTCTTTGCAACAGAGTGCAAGAAGCTTTCATGACCTTCATTAATGTTTAACCCAAGTGAATTAATCTGTTCACTTTTCCTGTCTCAGTGTTCCCAACTGCTGCTCCCAGGTTATTTTTTAAAATTTCTTCTTTGAAATGAGCAAGTATTTGGAGAAAGTTGAGTCACCGAAAGAATGCCAAGGGCAATTCCATGTCCCTGCAGTAAATGCTGGAAGGTAGGGATGAGAAAGTGCCCAGTAAATGCCATACCAGGGTTGCATTGTTCTGACAACAGTAAGATTAAGAATGGAAAGTCTGAAAAGCAGAAACACAGAAAAGAGAGCAAGAGAAAAAATACCAGACTAGAAAAGAGTAATAAAATAAAATCTCTGGCACACCGAGAATCAGCAGAGAA